CACAATAACTAACTACATTGTATATTGACAAAATAATAATAAAAAAATAAAGTAATTGGAAACATTTTTTGTGATCAATGAAAGCACAATTTAATTGAATGATGTAAATTTATAATTTAAATATTAAACTCAACCTAAAGACAAGTGACCTAATGTGATATTCATATTAACATCTAAACCATCAACGCTTAATGTAAACTATGAAATACCTTCATTGTTTAAAAGAGTCAGGTAAAAGAGGCTTCCAGAGTTTTTCTTGCTTTCAACAAGCTTTTGCTCTATTGTTTCTTTTACAACAATGAAATCACTGTATCAGAATAAGCTGGGAAACCAGGAAAGCACCCTGCCTTTGTTCATTTGCCTCACTGCAGCATTGTGGTGCAAGATCTTATAAAACAAGAACCTGATACTAAGCACAAGGATCTATAAGAAACTGGTCAATTTTACTGTTCTACAGCTAACAAATGGGAGGATTAGAGTGTATGTGAATGTATAACTGCTTGGATCGACTTTGCACTGTGGTTACTTTAAAAATACATGTGAGAATGTTCCTAATTTGTTACTTTTCACTAGAAAATTGAAGTACTGAGCACATTCAAGATCTATGGGACATGTTTTGCCCTATATCCTGGCTTCTGTAGCTGTACTTCTTCAGAGAATGGATCAGAAAGACATTTAAGCTTATTAGATAGAAAGGTGTCATCCCCTCACATCAAGGTACATGAGGGAAAAAGTTCAAGAATTATAAATTCTTAGAAAACATAAAAGATCCTTTGGGCCCTGGCAAGAAAAATGTCAACAAGTCAAAAGATACTAGATAGATGGCTATTGACCAGTTTCATGAAGGCAAAGCTGCAAGCCAAGATGGAATAATGCTTTCCCATGTGTCTAAGGCTGCAAATGACACTAATCCTTTTTAATGGTCACAAAAGCTGACAACTTACTCAGCCTTAGAACTGAAGGCACAAAATCATGTCTGGGAATGACTCACCATAAATAGGTCACGAGCACCAATGTCAACAGCTAGGAGAAATGCCTTTTCAAATCTCTGGTATCTACAAGGAAGAAAAGAATGTGTGTTAGCTGTGAACAAAATTATATAAAAGGAGAGACCTGTTTAACATATTTCTGTGATATTGTTTGTGTTCTTCTGATAGGAAAAATATTTTCAAACAGAAGGGATTTGGTCTGCTAGGATTTTCCACATGTTAAATGTTATTGCACTTAGGAGAAGCTAAGGCATACAGCCTGTGGAGGCCTTAAGTGTACCTTTCAAGGATAAACATAAACCCAAGTAAAAACTTCTGAATGTGGGGAAATGATAGCTTAGACAATGTTTCTCACAATTTTCACTTTACTGTGTTTTATAAAAGTATGGGGATATGGAGAATATAGCAGGAAAAGAACAATTAATAAATCATCTAATTATACTTTTATGTTTTTTAGATAAAAAAGTCAAATGTTACCGTATTACAAATGTCTCATATTTGTGTTTGAAAAAAAATACATTCCAGGCTGTTGAAAAGTGACAATATAAAATAGATTTCTAAATTTCTTTTAAATATTACTTTTCTAATCTTCATAATCATACTGTTCCCCTGAAGTATAATTCTGAGAATTTTCTTTCTGAAAAGTTTAATTTTAGGCTGAGATTCACAAGAACAAGTTGTAGCTTGAATTAACCACCTTTATAGAAAGTTTAAGATCTTGAGAGAAAAGCATGTCATGAACATATACTTTACACAGGTTTTTGGAATGAAAGGTGGTCTTTATTTTGATTGAATGCTGAGATTTATACATATATAACTGTTAGTTTTTCAGACTCTAGAAACAAGCAGGTAAATAACCAAGTTATTCTCTGTTTTCTATTTTAGATTGTAAAATATGGTGGTAGAAAATGATAATTCAAATAAAAAATAACAAGTATGGAATATTAATTATTATTAACAGATTATATAATTTTATTAGTGAAGTAGGTAAAATAATTAAAATTCAAACAAATAAGGCTTTTAATATTACATATGAGTTTAGTAGTAGGTCCAGAACCTGAAATACTTGTACAATTTTCATGTTATGTTTGATGAGTGTCACCCCCATCTCCTCCTTGCCCCTTCTTACTAGTAACTCCAGTATTTGCCTGAATCCCTCTCAGCTATAGAAAATAAGATAACTGTGTTTATTATTGTGGACGAAGAGTATCTCATACCAGAAGCTTACTAATTCATTACATATTCAATGGATGTGGAATGTACTGAGGAAGAGGTCAGAGGATTAGTGAATTGTACTACTAGTCCATGCATTTACTGTCATTTTGCATCTGTCCCCACGCCACTATAACTATTCTGGCGATAGTAATCATCCATCTTCTAATTATCAAACATAAAAATAAGATCTCATCTTGTGTGCCTTTTTGACCATATCTAAGCCCACAAACTGCCTCTCCTTGAAAACCTCTCCTTCCTTGGCTTTCCTCCCTTTCCTTCATTCTTTGTTTTCCCATTTCTTAAGACTGCGTCTTCTTAGTCTCCTTTGCTAGTTCATTTTTCTTTGCCTCCCCATGAAATTGGTGTTCTATTGTCCTCTTTTATTGCTAGTCACTCACTCCAATCTCAATAACCTTACCATTCCCATGGCTTTGATAATCAATTACGAGTACATTAATGACTCACAAGTTTACATCTCTAGGATTCATCTCTTTCCTGAGCTCCAAACTCTTATTTCCAGGCACCTCAACATTAACATGTCTAACATATCCATTGGAACATCAATTTAGAACCATACAGGACAAATTGAAATTGAAGAGAGTGAAATTATGGGGGCTGAGTTAGGATGTGCTCTTCTTTCTAGGTGACAGGTAATGATAGATGTTTTGATAAAATGAAAGAACTGACATTGGCATCTGGCAGCATGGTGACAGAAACACCAAAAGGAGCTCCCGACTAGATTGCTCATAAAATACACTTTAAAGTATATAACCAGACTGTAAATAAGAAAATACTTAAGGGTATCACATCCTCAATCAAAAAATAACCAATCAAACAAAATCCCTTGAAAGAAACCAGAGTAAGGATTCCTAAAGCAGACAACAAATAAAAAGAGGGGGGCGGGGAAGGCAGAACCATTCTGATAGCCATCACCCTCAGGGGACTAAGCCCTGAACAAGTCTCAGGGTAAAGGTAGCAGGCTCAAGACTTCTGATTAAGACAAGTACAGGAGCTAAACCCAAGATTTCTGATAAAGCCAGGGGCTAAAAGAGACACAGGTTAGTAGTGCCCCCTACCTGTGGCAGAAGCAATAAAAAACATTGTCTGGATTAAAGCTCTTCTGATAGAGGTTCCCAAGGATTACCATAAACTAAAAAATCAAACAAATAAGAGTTCACAATCAAGAGCATAAAAATATATGAAAATAAGCCACTATGACTGAAAATTAGAAAAGTTAATAACAAATTTAGATCTCCATGGACTGCAGATAATTGAATTATTAAAGTTAGAACATAAAATTATTCAGTATAAAATATTTCTTAAATGGTAGAATCATAAAAATAAGCATGCAATATACTATAAAAATTACCAGATCAATTTTCTAAATAAAATAGAACTTTCAGAAATTAAAAATTTACTTGCTGAAGTTAAATTCCTTGACACAATTAAAATAATTAGTGAAGTAAAAGTGTGTAAGTGATGCATAAGTAAGGAATTATACAGAATATTACACCGAGAGAAAAGAGATAAAAAATATAAAGAGAGGTTGATTTGGGTTGAATGTTTATTCCCTCCAAAGCCCGTGTTGAAGCTTAATCCCCAATATGGTATTTGAAAGGTAGGACTATGCCATCATAAATGGATTAATCTATTCATGGATTAATGAATTAATGGGTTAATGGATGAGTGGTTTATCATGGGAGTGGCACTTGTGGCTTTATAAGGACAGGAAGAAGCATGTTATCATGCCTGTGCTCCAGCTCTGTCACTATGTAATACCACGTGCTGCTTGGGGACTCTGCAGAGCAATTCTCACCAAGAAGAAGGCCCTTACCAGATGTGTCCTCTGGACCTTGGACTTCCCAGCCTCCAAAATTTTAGGAAATAAATTCTGTTTCTTTACAAATTACCCAGTTTCATGTATTCTGTATAAGCAACAGAAAAACAACTAATACAGAGGTTAAGTAGTACAGAGAACATGAAAAAGTCTAACATGTCTAATCAGGGAATTAAGTTAATAGTTCAGAATTTTCAGAGCTGATAAATGATGTAAATCAGTAGACACAGAGGAACAATATATATCCAGCAGCATAAATAAAAAGGATTCTACAACTGTGCACATTTGTAATGGAAATGCAGAAGTCCACAAATAAAAAAAGCTGTCAGAAGACAGATCACCTATGTAGGAACTAAAACTGATACTAGACCTCTTGATTGCAACAATGGGAGGTAGACAACAGTGGAAAGAAAGTATCTTCAAACTATGAAGTGAAAATAAACATCAACCCTGTTTGATATAATAGTAGAACACTCAACAATGAAAGCAAAATATACACACTTTAAGATACACAAAAACTAAGAACATTCAACAGATCTTTGATAAAGGGACTCCTGGGGAAATATCTCAGGAAAAAGGAAAATAGTCTAAAGAAGGTCTGAGAGGCAAGAAGGAATGGTTTCTTAAAAAAGGATTTGGTAAATACACAGGTAGATAAATACACATACACAAATATTTTAATATTTTTAAGGTTAGAAAATATTAATGTTTAACTTATAATTTATACATTAATATAAAATATGTCTAACAGAAGGTAGTTAAAGTACCAAGTTCCTTGTTTTTTGATACTGTTGAACATATTAATGTTTGAATTTGGTAACTATGTGCAGTCAAATTTCAATTGTAACTTCTAAAAGAATGTACGCATTGCTAAAACAGCAGAGGTAGAATGGGGATGAGGCTGGGAGAATTGAATGGGAAAAAAACTCAGGCAGTATTTAAAGAGTCAAGAAAGGAAACAAAGGAAGCACAGGAAAATAGGACAACTAGCGCAAAGATCATAGATTATATATTATTATATATATAAAATCATGTTGTTATAAAAATGATCATGTAAATGGACTAAACTCACCAGTTTAAAGACAGATTGTCAGACTAGAAAAGTAAAGTACAGATATATATTATTTGTAAAAGCCACATCTAAATCATAAAGACAAAAAAGATTAAAACAATGGAAGAAAATATATCAAATAAATGCTAAAATATAATCTGAGGACAATGTTGATGAGAATGTAAAATAAAGTACAGAGAATGTAGATAAAGAGTGTAATGTGCAGCCACTCTGAAAAAAAGTTTGGTAGTTTCTTAAAACATTAAATATAAATTTGTCATATAATTCCACAGCAATTCCCAGGTATCTACCTAAGAGAAATAAAAACATTCCATGGAAAGACATATACATATGTTTGTAATGACATTATTCATAATAGCTTAAAAGCATAAACAATCATTATGTCAATCAGCTGTTGAATAGATAGACAAAACATGTTATTTTGATACAACAGAATAGGGTTCACAAATAAAAATAAATGAAGTACTGATACACACTCCTATAACATAGATGGACTAAAAAAACATTGTTAAGTAAAAGTAGCAAAATACTATATATTGTATGATTCTATCTAAATAAAATGTCCAGAAAAGACACATTTATACAGACAGAAAGTACACTAGTGGTTGGCTAGGGGTTGGGAACGGGATCTGCAAATGGGTGTGAGTAATCTTCTTGGGGTAACAGAAGTTTTTTTAAATTGCAAATTTACTAAACATTGTATACTTAAAATGAATGAATTTCATGGTATTTAAGTTAAACCTCAAAAAATATTTTTTAAAAAGTTAGCTGAGGTAGCTGCATAATCAGAGAAAAGTTATCAGGGATAGAAAGGATAAAAACAACATGATAAAAGTTGCAAGACCTCAGGAAAATACAAAAATTCTAAACTTGGATGCACTTTATAAGATAGGTTAAAAATATATAAAGCAAAACATTAATAGAATTGAAATAAATTACCAT